GGGAATAGAAAAAAAAAAAGGAATTCAGCACGCCGTCCCCCCCCTAAAAAAAAAAAAAAAAAAAAAAAAAAAAAAAAAAAAACAGCAAGTGGAAGAGGAAGTGGGAGTGATTTATTTTATTTCCTTTTTTATTATCATTTTTATTTTTATTCCATTTTGAATGCTCTATTTCCATTTCAGCTTTACGGGCCTACCCCAAGCAGTATGCCAGTATAGCCAAACAGATTTTACTTGAGAGAGAAAAAAAAGTTCATGATCTTTGAGGTTTGTATACATAAGAACTGTAATGTAGCATATTATTTGAATATATTAACAAATGGATAACAAAATTTCCCTCAAGGTTAAAAGTATCCGATTAGATTTGAGGAAAAAAATAAAAAAAAAAAAAAAAAAAAAAAAAAACGTTTGTGTGGGTGTATGAAAAACTGGACATTCAGCTGCCTTGAACATATATTTCATTTTAAAGCATAAGGAAAATAAAATGCTCATCTCCGTTCTTCTTTTCACCTAGTTCTACATATGGTAGCTTCAAATAATTTGTGCATGCGAGATGGGTCCAGCTGAATGGTAGTTTCACGAGTCGGGCAAAAAGTGTATACACATATGTATAAACATATGTATATGTACATATATTTTCCCTGTTTGGTTTCGAGGTTTATGTAACGTCCATTTTCCTGAGGGAGAAATTTTGAGGTGAATCCTACCCCTTTTTTCAAACGCTAGAAAGATTATTTTTATTTTGTTTTATTTTGTTTTACTTTGTTTTGCTTTTTTTTTTTTTTTTTTATTTTGTTTTGCTTTGCTTTGCTTTGTTTTGCTTTGCTTTGCTTTGTTTTGCTTTGTTTTGTTTTATTTTATTTATTTATGTTAAACGGCTAAACTGGGCGAATCAGTTAAAGTGACAGTAAGACTAGTGTGCACATATCACGACAGTAATCCAATGTAATTATTCATACCGGATTGCAACCCGAGATGAAACTACGTAAACAAGGAGTATCTGTGGAGGAAGAGAAGCTGTTCGAGAATGTAAGTAAGGACGATTCTGGAATAATAAAGAAGTTTACACTGGGAGTGTGTGCAATGGAAGGAAAGGTGGAAAGCGCTCCTATGGAATGTATACTGAAGAGATTGGCAAAAAGTGGAGATTTTAACATCATAAAATTTAAAGAAGACATGATTTTGAATCATGATATTGATTCTTGGCCAATAGTGGATTGCTTAATTGCATTTTATTCAACGGGTTTTCCTTTGAAGAAAGCCATAGAATATGTAAAAAAATACAAACCCATCACATTAAACAATTTAGAAAAACAATTAATACTAAGGTCTAGATTGCAAATATATGAAGAGCTGAAAAAATGGAAAGTACCACATGCAAATTATGTGGTGGTAGATCATGATACTGTCAAGAGAGGAGAACATGTATTTGAAGAATATTATGATTATATTGTCTACGACAATATAAGACTTAATAAACCTTTTATTGAAAAACCTATAAATGCAGATAATCACAATAATTGGATATATTATCCAAAAAATACAGGTGGTGGATGTAAAAAATTATTTCGAAAGGTTAAAGATAGAAGTAGTGAATACTGCCCAGATATACATAAAGTAAGAAATAATGGAATATATATTTATGAAGAATTTTTATCTACATTTGGAACTGACATAAAAGTATACACAGTTGGACAAATGTTTGCACATGCAGAAGCAAGGAAATCACCTGCACTTGATGGAAAAGTATGTAGAACATCTGATGGAAAGGAAGTTAGATATGCTGTTATTCTTTCAGAATCAGAAAAAATGATTGCATACAGAATTGTTGAGGCATTTCAACAAACCGTGTGTGGATTCGACATTTTAAGGACGACAATGGGCCCATTTGTCTGTGATGTTAATGGATGGTCATTTGTAAAAGGTAATATAAAATATTACAATGATTGTGCACATATCTTAAGAGCCATGTTTTTAGCTAAATTGGAAGAAAAATATAATATTATTCCTAGAGATCTTGCAGATAATTGGTATAGTATAGAAAATGAAGAAGAAGTTCTGAGAAAAACTTTTAGACAACCAGATGATTTGCATTGTTCCCACCATGAAGAATTGTGTTCTGTAATTATTGTAATGAGACATGGTGATAGAAAACCAAAACAAAAAATGAAATTCTTTACTAATCGTCCACTTCTCCTTGATTATTTCAATTGTGACGAAAATCTTTACAATGTTATAGAAAGCAAGTTATCACCAGATGAAAAACATAAAATGAATGCAAACCTCTTGAATTCTTCCAATGACAACCCTTCATCCAGTTATACTTTTCATAACACAGGGGTGGATTCATCCATGTTCCAATATGACCAAAGCGTGAAAGTACCTTCTACAATGAGTAAAAATTCGTTCATCTTGCAGAAAAGTGGAGAAGTTATTGAAAAAGAAGAAGTTGTCAAAAGGGGAAAAGTTACGAAAGACGAAATAGCTAGTATGGACATCCAGAACCCAAAGGATAACGAATCCAATATTACTACTAATTCGTCCGTACCAACTGGAAATATGAGTACAACTGATGAAGACAGATGTGACAATCTCTATAAGGTATATACGAAAAAGGAAATAAAATTCAAATCTCCAGAAGAGCTGCAGGATCTGTTCCTCAGAAATAATATCATATTAGAAGAAATAGAAAAGGAGTACAAAGCACTCAAAAGTGAAGAAGCAAAAATTTCGACATGGCAAAATGGGCAGGAAGAAGCAAAAATTTCGACATGGAAAAGTGGAGAGGAAGAAGCAAAAAATTCGACATGGCAAAATGGGCAAGAAGAAGCAAAAAATTCGACATGGCAAAGTGGGCAAGAAGAAGTAGGAACGGGTGGGGTGGGAAGGATATGCAACGTGAAAGACAGCGAAGGAAATGTTTGTACACAGAAGAGAATTAATTTGTGTAAAGAAAATTGTAACAGTAAGATGTCGAAGGAAGAGCTAATGGCTAAACTAAGCGAATATGAAATTACTATCGAGAATCATAAAACACTACAGAAGATATTGGAAAGAGGTGATGGGTTCACAGGTATTAACAGAAAGATTCAATTAAAACCAGTAGAATTTGTTGTGATAAAGGACAAAATTGTAGTAACAAAAATTCTGACAGTGGCTAAATGGGGTGGTGAATTAACAAGAATGGGACGAAGACAATCTGAAAATTTGGGAAAACGATTCAGGGCAACCTTATATCCAGGAGATTCAGATGGTTTGTTAAGATTACATTCTACTTTTAGACATGATTTTAAAATTTTTACATCTGATGAAGGAAGATGTCAAATTACTTCTGCTGCATTTACAAAAGGGTTCTTAGATTTAGATGGTGAATTAACTCCAATATTAGTTGCCATGGTTATAAGAAATTCGAAAGCGCATAGCTTATTGGATGATAATAGACCAAGCTTTGATAGAACTAGATGTAAATTATATATTGACCAAATTTTAAATGAAAATAAAGACATTGATGAGGAATTGTTGAAGAAACTTACATCAGGGAAGCATGCACGTGGATTTCGAGAATCGTTAAAAAAGATTTCAAATTTTTATAAACTAATGGATAAGGTAAGAAAAACTATTTATGAATTTTTAAAGGGATTAAATCAAGAAGTTCAGAAATGGCTTAATCTATTTCCATATGATGAATATGCATTGTATGTGATTGATATTTTACACGAAATACAAGTAAGATGGAAATCATTAACAAAGATGTGGTTTAAAAAAAATAAAAATAAATATGACACATCTAAAATTCCAGATATTGTTGATAATATTCGATTCGATTTAATTCATCATCACTCTTATTTGGGATGTGGACTTGATAAAGCTTTCGAAATTTATAATCAAATAGAACCATTAGCCAATTTCATATCACAAGCAGAATATGGAATCACACCAGAAGAAAAAGTTAAAATTGGAGTTAATATTGTAGGGAAATTACTCAGAAAATTAATACATGATGTTACATTTTACAGAGATGAAGAAGTGAGAAACAAAAAAAATAATAAAAGTTGCAATGTTTTGAAAAATGCTCTTAACATTTCCTACATGAATTCTTTTAATATATCAAAGAATGATAAAGTAGTAACAAACTCAACAAATGAAAAAATTAAACAAAAGGTTCATGAAAATACAAAATTAGATATTCATCATCATTATCCCACTTGGCTAGACAGGGAAATGCAAAAGGATACACCCAAAATTTTTAGCATGTGTAAATATGACTCGAGACAAATTTTTATTGATAATCGGTTACATAAAAATGGAGAAAATAATATCTCCGCATCTAACAGAATTCACAGTACCTCTGGTTCAATCATCAATGAGGAATTGACAACCTCCAAAATTACCTCCCTTACAAACGAGTTGCCTGCAGAAAGAGCCAATGCACATGTGTGCACTAATCAAATGGATTCTCCACGTGGCAGTGAACCCGATTCCACATCACACGGTGGGGAATTTTGCGCCGTCCCATCTGCACGTAGAACGCACTCGAATGTTGCCCACATCAAGGTCACCCCCTCCGAATCTGCCACTAGCCATGCATCTGCCACTAGCCATGCATCTGCCACTCGTCCAGAATCTGCCACTCGCCCCGAATCTGCCACTTGCCCCGAATCTTCCACTCGCCCCGAATCTGCCACTTGCCCCGAATCTGCCACTAGCCATACTTCTACCACCCGGAGCAGTGGCAAATCCACCGTGAGCAATTCCCAAGCGAAGAAGGCAATATATAATGAACTCAGCAGAGAAGGAAAAAAAAAGCCCATATGTGATAAACAAATCATAGGAATTCCAATGAATGAAGTTCAGGGAGAAATCACATCATCTGAAACGGACGCAGGTATTATAGTCTCAAGGATGAGTGGCAACTCCTCTGAATCCGGGAATTTTGCTGGTGAGTCATGTGAGAAGCACAATAAAGGACACATGGACGTGAAAGATAGAAAAGTTAACCATGGAGAGATGTACCAAAAGAATGAATTAGAAGAAAGGTTTTGTAAAATATCTGATACGAGACATTCTAAAATTACAACTGTGGATGGTACCACAGTAGGAGAGCGGTGTGGAGTATACCAAAACTATGAATGTAACAATTGGAATGACAACAGTAATTCCAAATTGGGAAAAATAGGTTCGGTTACATATAACATAAATACAAAAGATATTTACACTCCAAAATTAATTAATAAGAAAGAAGCATTGGTTATTAATTCTTCTGATTTGTGGGCCCATCAGAATAAATATAGAAAGGAAAATAACGAGAAACAAAAAATGAAAAAAATAAAAAATGCTAAGGAAAATGAACTTAGCATTACTGAAAGAGATGATAATAGAGAAATATCTAGTTTGCACAAGGAGCGAGATAACAACAAAGTAAACGGGTTAACTGCACCAATGGGGGTTCTAGTAAGTCCTACTAGTGGCGATATCCCCGGGAAGGAGTTGTTCTGCAACAGCAATTCGAAAGTTAAGGCAGTACCCAAGGGAAAGAAGCGTGAAGAAGGGGTACAAGTAGGAGAAGCAGCAGGAGAAGTAGGAGCAGGAGAAGCAACTGCTGAAGAAGCAACTGCTGAAGAAGCAACTGCTGAAGAAGCGACCGCTGAAGAAGCAACCGCTGAAGAAGCAGACGCAGGAGTGGGAAGAGAAGACGGCACCGATTCAATCGAGCAGGAATTGACTGAAAAAGGGATCAAGGAAAGAATGACGAAGGGCCAAGAGGAAGATCGCACGATGCATGAGGTAGTGATACAGAAAAGAGAAGATGAAACAAAAGGGGATAATACAAGCCAACAGGTAGACATGGAAAAGGAAGAAGATGAGGAGGGAGAGGAAGAACATGACCATGATGATGATGAAGACTTAATTAGACTTAAAGAAACAGATGCAAGGAGATTAGGAATAAGATCCCCATGGAGAATGGTTAGGTCAAGATATTACGTTACATCAGCTTCGCACATGATTTCACTTTTAAATATTCTTATACATGCAAAAAACGCAGATAGCTCAATAAGCCAAAATATAATAGATAATGATTCTGTTAAAAGTGTAGGAGATGTTACAGATTTACATTATTTGTCTCATTTAGTTTTTAGAGTATGGGAAAGAAAACAGCTAAAACGAAATGATAGTAATCGGTTCAGAATCGAAATTTTATTCAGTTCAGGTGCAAAAGATGGATTCGGGCAAAATTATGAACTTTTAGAAAAAGATGCTAAAGCACAACAACAGAAATATGAAAGACATTTCAGTAAATATGTTGATGATAATAAAAAAGTTGGGGTTATTGGAGGAGGAGAGGTCAACCTATCCAAACAGGTAAGTTATGCAAACTCTACAATGGATAAGGGGGAGGAAAAGTCTAAAGAGATGCAACAGGACAAGCCAAGCACATCCAGCAATGACAATTGCACTTTTGTTTCAGACAAGATAGAATCGAATAGCTCCTTGACAAATTCAATAACTCCTGTGAAAGAAGACAAAACGAAGATTCTTAGCCCGAGTAACAGATTTCTACTTTCAGATAGTGCACATGGAAGAACATCTACTTCTAGCATGAGAGTGAGTGGAAATCTACACTTGGACTTGATGCATCCAGAAAAAAAAAAAGGAGAAAGTAGTGTATGCACAAATGCTAGTAGTATGTGTGCAAAGGGAAACGTTCGTAGAAACAATTTCATGGAATCCTTTTCACCAAATTCAGCAAATATATTTCGAAGAGGAGAAGAAGAAGAAGAAGAAGATTCAAAGTTTTATCAAGGTATGTATAAGAGAGATTTATCATATGAGTTTAGAGGTATACATGAAAAATTGTGTTCAACCAGTAACAAGATAACCAGAACAGGAAGTTATATCGTTAGATCTATTAGTTCCAATTTAAGGAAAAAGAAATATAAACAAAAAGATGGACGAAAAGTAGAATATGAAAAAAATGAAAAAGAAGACATTACAAAAGAAAATTTATTAACATATGAAAATGAATGTAATATTGATACAGGGAAACAAGAAACCAATCGAAAAGTACGTAGAAGCTTTTCATGCATTAGTGATAGAACCTTATATATGCACACAAAACAGGTTGAATTGGACGGAGAAGAAAATGGCAATAAAAATTTTAAAAATAGAAGAAATAGCCTACTCGAAAATGAAAAAATAAAAAATAAATTTCAAAATAATATGGAAAATTATAATAATGATAATAAAAAGGTAAATGTATTTTCACATGTCTTTCAACATTTTAATGAAAGTAAAAAAAATTCAACATCCAATTTGAAATTCTTTTACAAAACATACATGCCTGATTATGAAAAAATAATTGAAAACGATAAAAAGGCAGAAACATTTGATGTGCCACCTTATTGTGAATTAGCGCCCCTCATAGTGTTAACAAAAAACTGTCAGTTGTCTACTTTCGAAAATATATTGACACAAATTCTAAACAAATATTCCAAGGGAGGTAAGGGCAAGGACAAGGGGATGAAAGCGGCACCCAAGCAGGGTTGATACGCCGTGGCAAGGAGAGAGGAAAAGGTGTGAAAAAAAAGTGAGAAACGCAAAAAAAAGAAATAAAACGGAAAAAGTACAAAAAAAAAGAAATAAAATAGAAAAAGGGAAGCATGAAAATGAAAGGGGAAAACGAGCAAAAGTGCTATGCCCCGAAAAAGGAGCACAAAATTAAACCGCTTGCATGGAGAAACAAATGATGTTGTGTCTTTATGGCCTTAAATGTGGGATAAAAGCACACGCATTCGGTGAGGGTGTACCCTGCAATCATTTCACATTCAGTGCTTCGATTGATGCATTGGAATAGAATTTAGAACCTTATATTTTGTCGATCACATAGCACAGTTTGTGCTTTTTTTTCTTTTTTTTTTTTTTTTTTGTTTTGTTTGGTTTTGTTTTTTCTTTTCTGTTTTGTTTTGTTTTTTCTTTTCTGTTTTGTTTTGTTTTTTCTTTTCTGTTTTGTTTTGCTTTTTCTTTTTTGTTTAGTTTGGTTTTGATTTTTCTTTCCTTTTTTAATTTGTTCCCCTAAGTCAATTCAACTCCTTCACGGCTTCGAAGATTGATTAGCTTTCCCACTCGTACACTGCGGGATTAGACAATCTTTGTATTCTTCTTCAAACCCATAAGCGTATTCATTTTTAACAAAATATATACATGAAATATGATAAAAAAAAAAAATAAAGCAAAACTTTTTACTTTTAAAACCATACCCCATTGTCTGACCACCAAGATGGGGTAAAATTATATTTTATTTTATTTCATCATATTATTTTATTATATTATTTTTTTTTGCTCAAAAAAAACAGTGTAACTCGGTTCACGTCGAGGGGAGTTATCACATTTCTTTCATTTTTTTTTGCAAAGAACTCAAATATTCCTCATTATCTTCCGTATGAACTGCTTTGGCGATACCAACCTTTTGGGGTGTGGGCAGCAGTGTAAGAGGCAAAAAAATGGAGAAGTAAAAAGGGGGAGATGAATATATGGGTGCGTCACACATGCAAATGTAAATGTAAATGCAAATGAAAATGAAAATGTAAATGTAAATGAAAATGTAAATGTAAATGTAAATGTAAATGAAAATGTAAATGCAAATGTAAATGAAAATGTAAATGTAAATGAAAATGAAAATGTAAATGTAAATGAAAATGAAAATGAAAATGTAAATGAAAATGAAAATGAAAATGTAAATGCAAATGAAAATGAAAATGTAAATGCAAATGAAAATGTAAATGCAAATGAAAATGTAAATGCAAATGCACGAATGGATACTTTTTACAGCGCATTTACACCGCATTTAGAACACCTTTGCAGCACATTTTATGCCCTTACGTAAGAACTTTTGTGGCCATATCCACGTCTGTAGACTGTGTAGTAGTATCTCATAAAGGTCGCATTCCCCAAAATATACGCATGCCCATACTCAGGCGAAACTTCGATTTCCATGAATGCCGGTTTGCATATGTCGTGCTTCCTAACTAGGTACTGCGATGGTGTTAGCGTGAAGGGCATGTTGTTCTGCACGACAGAATAATTAATTATGAATGCATGAATGAATGGTGTGAACGTGTGAATATTCGCAAAATTGTATGCACACGTTGGAATGTTCATAAAAATTCGCATATTTAGGTATGAACGTTCAGGTGATCTCTCTTGCGGTTATGCACACGGTACTGGAGAGTGCCTCATTAAAAATTACAATAACATAGGTCAAATTGGGGTAGCTTGCCACAACTTCGTCAATGTTGCTGTCGTCACATTTCTGAAGGAAGGAATGAAGGTGTTTTTTTTTTTTTTTTTTTTTTTTTTTTTTTTTTTTTTTTTGGAATTTATTTGAGTGTGTGCAACCTTTTTTCGTTAGCTGTTTAGCTCACTATGTATTTTTTTTTTTTTTTTTTTATGACACGTTCATAACTATTGGATATTCCCTAGTATAACCATTAGTTCGCTCATTTTTTTTTTTTTTTTTTTTGAAAACGTACCCTTGGAGGAACAACTTTAAAGAAATACTCGATTTCAGACTTTGGTACACTATTGAAGGATGTTCCTGAATCAAATATAAGATAATTTTTGTTTTTATTTAATTTTTTTTCTTTTCTTCTAGTCTTAACTTTGTGAAGGTGTCTTTTCCATCGGTGTTTCTTATTTCGTATATATCCTTTGTTTCCTTTCCCTTTTTCTCGCTTTTCCCAATGATCATCAAAAAGATTATGTTCTTCATAAGCAGAATGTTCATCAATGTCGTCTTTTCCAGATGAATCTTTTTTCTCTGTATTTTTTTCTTTGTTATTCCATTTTGCGTTGAAATTTCCTTCATTACTATGATGCCAAAAATTCGATGGTGTCAAATGAGTTTTTTTTTTAAAGTATTTCCGAACGAATGAATTTACTTTTTTCCATTTTTTATTTTTCCTTTCTAAGTCATATACAATTGAACTGGAATCACAACAAAATTTCTGATGATCAATGTAGAGTCCATCAAATTCTATTTCCCAATAATACTCCCGTACCACTGGAAACATGTAAATATCTCCTTCGAAAAATCTTTTATCTACGCCTCCAAACACCAATGCTGAATATTTATTATCCTTCCCAATATAAATAGAAAACTCATTATGTTTAAACTTGTAAACTGACATTATCTTTTCATAAATCGCTATTTTTCCTGTTGATAACATATCAGGGAATGCCAATCCTATTATACCTTCAAAATTTATCCTTTCAAAGACATTGGATTTTGCTTCACTCCTTATTTCTCTTTTTACAAGACCAAACGATTGATTTAACACCTTAAATGGTCCTATGTGAAACGTTTCTATGCCTATTTCTCCTTGAATTATTCCCGTTCCGAACTGTGCAAAGAATGGGGTGGGGTGAGGATCGAAGAGAGGTGTGCGCATGCACAAGTGTAAACATGTGTGCAAATCTATACGTACATGCATATTCATATGCATAAGTATACATATATGTATATGTGTAACGAGTGGATGGGCATGTATCTCTACCAGAATTTCCAATTTCGTGTGCGGTTTGTATAAGCGAAAGCTGCTAGACAACTTGTGGTCGTATCTGTGCACCTTCAGGCAAGTTTCATCTGTACACTCTGTGCTGACGACCCATATGTTCCTTCGTTCAGGTGGTATGCAAATGAGGAGTATATATGCATACATATATGTGTATATGTAGGTATATATAGGCACGTGCTCATGTGTGTGTTTGTAAGGTAGGGGAATATTATGCTGCTTTTCGTTTTTATTTTTAACTTGTTCAATTTTATTTTGATTTATTTTTAACTTGTTCAATTTTATTTTGATTTATTTTTAACTTGTTCAATTTTATTTTTATTTATTTTTAACTCGTTCAATTTTATTTTTATTTATTTTTAACTCGTTCAATTTTATTTTTATTTATTTTTAACTCGTTCAATTTTATTTTGATTTATTTTTAACTCGTTCAATTTTATTTTTATTTATTTTTTTGTCTTTAAAACTTACGTGCTGCCTGTATCAAAAATTGGTCTGATTGTTTGGGGTGGGGTGCCTATTTTTATGTATCCTACATATTGACTCTACAAAAACGTGTAGGTAGGGAAAAGAGAAATCAGTTATCTAGTGTTAAACCAAGTGGTTAAAGGGCGAGTGGGAAATGTAATTAAAAGGCATTGTAAGCTTGGAACACTTGGGTAAGGAAGCTCAACACACTTGGAACATTTGGGTATGCTTGTCACACTTGACAAACATGGAAACGATTCTCAAATTCTCACATCTTGTAACTGCTGCAGGGGAAGCGTCACTTGCTTGATTGAAGAAATATCCTTTCTTTTAAATACACCAGTTGGCACTGGCTCTGCTTCTTCACCTGCACTGTTCATAAATTTCGAATCGTGTTCAGATTGTTCATTGACGTACTTGTTCGTCACATTATTTTGAAACGCGTTGTGATATTTATCTTCCCCCTGGGAAATATTTCCTTTTTCCTCATGCGATTCTTGGCTATTTATGATTTTATTAAAAGTATAATCACTGCCACCATCGTCAGCTCCATCGCCATCTCCACCACCATCTCCACCACCATCTCCACCACCATCTCCACCACCGTGAAGTTCTTTTCTTTTTTTCTTTTTTTCTCTTTCTCCATTGGTGGAGTTACTACTCAGGGTGTAATTCGAGTGATATTCCTTGTAACTTGTGTTTTCTTTCGGAAATTTCTCTTGTGCAAAATTCTGATACATCTCTGATTTGGCTTTTCTGATTTTGTCTTGAAAGTGTTTGCGCTTGCTTGGTATGGCCACCATGGGGATTATATTCTGAGGGGAGTAAAAATAAGGTATGTAAAACGAGATAAATAAGAAGAACTAAATAAAGCAAGACAAATAAAGCAGCATGAACTCAAAGAGTGGTGGCACCCCACACTAGTGATGTTTTGAATGTGTGTGTGTGTGTGTTGGGCGTAACATTTTCACATGACGATGAAATAATGAGGCTCTCCTCTTGCATTACTCCCAGGATTTTCTTACTTCTGATGTCCCCTTCTCATGGATACAGACAGAGCAAACATCGCATACATCACATGTTAGTATGTCATAATTGATTTCGTTCAGCCATTTTAGATCCTTTGAAGAGGTGGCATTGGATGTAACTCGTAAACAATTGAATCGATTAAAAAAAAAAAGGGGAATTGCCAATAGCAAGGATATTGTTGGATGCATTAAGAATGTGGATACAAGCTTATTTCCAAGTTTTTTTAATTGTAAAGGGGACATTTTTGCATCTAGAGATAGGGTTGGTGGATGGAAAACGTGATTAGGAGAAGGGTGTGGTAGAGGATGGCGTGAATGCTGACCAGAGAAATGACAAAATGTAATGCCAATCCGGTTCAAGCACATGTAAGAACATATAGATGTAGATAGACAGGCCGAAAGACTGGTAGACACACATACATACACACACAAAAAAAAAAAAAAAAAAAAAGAAACGAAAAACTAAACAATGCCACACCTGAGATACATGATTAGCCGAAGTTGTTTTAATGGCATTTTTTTTTTTTTTTTTTTCTTTGCAAAAACTTAACGTCAAATTAAAATCAAAAAAAACATTTTTAAAAACATGTGTTCATCATTCCCTAGTTTTTACCCCAAGGAAAATAAAAAGAAGGGGAAATAAAATTGTAATTAGAGCTATAATTGTCTATGTTTTTAAAAAAAAAAAAATGCATCAAGGTTGAGAATCAACACGAGTGTGAAGAAGAAAATATATAAATAAACAAACAAATAAATAAAGCATAACATTAGCATAGTATAGCACAGAAGAGTAAATAAATGAAGCAAAGTAAATGGAATAGAACACTCACGAATAACTACCCAAACAAAGGAAGAATGCTAAAAAAAAACTGATACAACACGGGCGTCTTCCCTGCGGAATTTATGTACACTCAGCTGGCATTCTGTGGGTGGGGAGTAGCGCGTGTTTTTCAAAAATGAAATAAAAAATAAAAAATAAATAAAAAATAAATAATAAATAAAAAATAAATAAAAAATAAATAAAAAATAAATAAAAAATAAAAGATAAATAATAAATAAATAAAAAATAAAAAATAAAAAAGTAAAATCAAATAAAATGTTGCAGTGAACTCTACTGTAATGTATATTTGTTCATCTCAACTGTCCACACGATAGTTTTTTTTTTTTTTTTTTTTTTTCCCACTTCCGGTGATTTTTCCCTTTCTGTATTCCACCTCTTTATAAAAAAAAAAAAATGGTAATGGAAATGCAAAACTACACACATAATAAATGTACGCTTAAGCATGCACACCACATACAGACATGTACCATTTTAGATTCTACTTGTGTGATATATTTATGTTTTCAGTTTTTCTCTTACTAAGGGAACGGTTTTTTGGACATACTAATTTTGAAATATTTATGAGCACCCTTTTTAAAAAGAAAATTACCAAGAAATATAAAAGTATCTTCACCCCCACCCCTGATCATTTTCATACCTATATTTTACACTTCAGCACCCTTTGTTTTTCGTCTACCATATTTTGTGTTTCCCCAAATGTTTGACAATGGTGCAGGATGTTGCACCTGAGGCTGTTTTATGATACAGAAAAATTCAGCTTTACTTTAACGAGATATTTGTAAAGAGCGGGGGCAGACACACCAAAAAAATGGCGAAATGGTTAGGTGGGGAAGTGGGGAAAAAATAAAAAGAAATAATAAAATAATGACGAAATAATAATGAAATGACGAAATAATAATGAAATGACGAAATAATAAAATAATAACGAAATAATAATGAAATGACGAAATAATAAAATAATAACGAAATAATAATGAAATGACGAAATAATAATGAAATGACGAAATAATAATGAAATGACGAAATAATAAAATAATAACGAAATAATAATGAAATAACGAAATAATAATGAAATGACGAAATAATAAACTAATAACGAAATAATAATGAAAGATATATATGATCAGCATCACACAAAAGGTGTAAAATTTTAAGAACGAATGCGTTGCATTAACCGGTTGATAAGGAACACTCATCACCCCTTCAATGAGGAGAATTATCAACACATGCTTCATACACACACATGTACATATGTCTTTGCAAAGTTTACCACAGGTGAGGGATAGAAGCAAATACGTTGTTTCATTTTGGTGTACTTGTGTGGGGTTTGATAGGGTAAGTGTAAATATGCGTTAAATGAAATCCTAGTAAATATGAGCACGGGGAAAATAACATACTCATCAGAAGAGAGGTTAAAAAAAAAAAAAAAAAAAAAAAAAACAAAGTCATGTCACGTCACGTCATAAGATATGATATCACGTCACGTCATAAGATATGATATCACGTCACGTCATAAGATATGATATCACGTCACGTCATAAGATATGATATCACGTCACGTCATAAGATATGATATCACGTCACGTCATAAGATATGATATCACGTCACGTCATAAGATATGATATCACGTCACGTCATAAGATATGATATCACGTCACGTCATAAGATATGATATCATGTCATGTCATAAGATATAATATCATGTCATGTCAAAAGTCAATTAATTTCCCAAACAAAATATGCTGCAGGATTTGACGCTTCTGGATTATTTCTGCTTGGTACATTTTCAGCAACCCTGAACAAATTTTCTCCCTTCAAATGAGGGGCGAAAAAAAAAAAAAAAAAAAATGGAATCAATTGTCCAATTAATGCTGCACTAGTACTCCAATTAATGCTGCACTAGTACTCCAATTAATGCTGCACTAGTCTCCAATTAATGCTGCAATTAAAATGGATTGCACAATGGATAGATAATATAAAGGCGAGAGGGGAGTAGCTCAATTATGCAACAACTTATCTTTTGTTAGTAGAAATCTAAATTCCATTTACTTTAACTTCTTTTTTGTAAGTGCAAAAATCACATACCATGTTTCCACACCGGAAATATCATACAGCATTTGGGAAGATTCATGAAAAGGGGCATGTTTCAGCTGTAAAAAAGGAAACAAAAAGTATGTACAGAGTATCACACAAATGGATAAAGAAAAAAAAAAAAAAAAAAAAAAAAAATATATATATATATATATAGAAGTAAATTCGATGAAATATAGTATGGCTACTCTTGTACATAAACATAAAGTAAATTCCATGGCATACAGAATTAACTATTCACATGGGACACACACTTACAACCACAGGAAGAATATTACCATGGAGATGTATTTTAAGGCATCAAAATATAAGTACTTGGGTGCCCAGAGTTCTACTAACTCCTTCTTTTCGATCTAATGTGCAATTTAGATAGGGGTGTGTGTGTGGGGAAAATAATAATAAAATGATCAAATAAGTGAAAGATAAAAAAAATATCCATGTGGAAATGCGCATCTATTTATATATTTACACACAAGATGGTGTGGAGTAAATGTTTAACAAAACGGAAATAGGTGTATACACATTCAGACATGTCAAGTATGGATACAGAAAAAAATAAATTTCCTTACGTCGTCTGTTTTTATTTTCCTATTGTATGATAACTGTGCAGCACCAAATAGAAAAACTAAAAATTGAAAATCATCCAACCCCCATGCACCTCTACTTCCAGCTGGTTCCACTGTGTAAATGAGTTGTACTCTCCTCACGCATTCCAAGTACCTAACATGGTTTTGTAAAGAATGATTTCCAAATGGAGAATATAATGCAATGGAAGGATTTACGGTAATACCACAAGGTTGGTATGTGTGTTAGAGGGGTTTTTATATAACACTTTGCTCAGCAGAGAGAGGTATATGCAGAACGGGATTAAGTAAAAGGCACACATATATGTGCGTGAGTACACGTGAGCATGTACATTTAATTATGTTCACTGGAGAGTGTACACTTTTTCGGGATGGGCTAGTGCACGTACTGTCGATAAAGAACAAGGACGAGGTGCTTATAGTCTTGGGGCGAAAAAAAGTGGAGTTTATTCAAACAGAAGAGAAATAATAAAAAGTTCAACTCATGACCAGTTCCATAATCAATTCGTTTTTTATTTCCTATTGAATTCTTCAAATAATGAGCCAACTGAAAAGTATGCTGTGTTATGTTTTCTATACCTGATTGAATTAAAATTTTAGGTAGGAATTCATCAATTTCTTTATAATATTCATCACAAAAATTTTGAAATCCTTTATTTCCAAATCGTGTAGGTTGATTTACAGGTGGACATGCATCTATGCATTTGTTCATGTTCTTTATAAGAATAAATATATTTTCTACGTTTTTTGAAATCAGCAAAAAATATTCTCTTCTTTCATCTTTATGTTTTTCAATTTCTCCAACCTTATCCTCATGTGTGTAGAAATATTCAAGGGGACGCATCTCTACACCTACTACAGATTTGTTCAGGTTTGTAATGAACTCTATTATTTCATTATACACTGCACTGTTTCTGAACCTATTTACGCTCTCTTCATCCAAAATTTTTAAACTCAACCCGTAGTTATCCATCATTGTGTTTGTATAATTGTCTGGATGTGGTTGAAGGAAATGAAAAACTGGCAAGGAGAAAAGGCAGTTTAGTTCGTGTGTGTAGGTCGTGCATTTGCCGGTGGGGTTGGTAAGCTTGTTCGTCCGTTATCTTATTTCTTCTCGTGGTCTCGTCGTTTCTTCTTTTGCCTGTCGTTCTGGTCGTCTGTATGTATCTATGCATCTATACACATATGCATCTATACACATATGCATCTATACACATATGCATCTATACACATATGCATCTATACACATATGCATCTATACATATATGCATCTATGTAGGTTTGCCTTTCTCTATCTCTCCGTGCGATTTCCCTTTTTCTAAGTAGTTGCATGTACACACATTAATACTTATATACACTTTCGTGCCCTTTTCATGCGAGCATATATCCCCTAGTAGGCTTGAAATTGCCCTCCTTTTCTGTATATTAAAAAATGGAGACTCTACACACGGGATGCAGTTGTATGGTTGTTTAAAATCTTTTCATCTTCAAAGTGAAACAAGTTTTGAATGAAAAGTTTTTTTTTTTTTTTTTTCTCTATCTTCCCACTTTTTTTAAATTTCGCCTTTTTATCTTACCCCCTTTTTTTTTTTTTTTTTCTCCTGTTCTACTTGCTTTTTTTTTTTTTTTTTTTTTTTTTTTTTTTTTTTCTATTTTACCTATACCCAATTTGTATTAGATAAAAAATGAGATTAGAAAATTCTAACGAAGAAGAAATGAACTTTTTTCAAAAAAAAGGCAGGGATCAAAAAAAAAAAAAAAAAAAAAAAAAAAATTAATTCCTTAAGTGGAACTATACGCAAGAATGGCTTTACTTTTCTTTTTTGTTGTTGTTTTTTTTCTTGTTTACTATTGATTTTTTTTTTTTTTTTTTTTTATGTATTCTTTTATGTTTACTCTTTTTCTTTCTTTTTTGATTCTTTATATTTATTTTGTTATGATGTGGATTTGCATGATTCAGCTGAAAATGAAAGAATACACAATTTGGTAATCTGTAGAAAAGCACAAAAATAAGAAAAGAAAAAAAAAAAAAAAAAAATGAATAAAATAAAAACACAGCCGTAAACTGTCGAATGTTGAATGCTTATTTTTATGCGCGCAAAAAAAAAAAAAAAAAAAAAAAAAAAGGAGTTGTGTAACAATTCCTACATATTTATTTATTACATCATATTTTTCTCTCCTCGCTTGTCACATGTGTATTTCATGGAAGTTTAAAACATAAAAAGAAAAGAAGTACACATGCGTACACTTACACATGCGTACACTTACACATGCGTACACTCACACATATGTACACTTACACATACGTACACTTACACATACGTACATATGTATGCATGTGCATATATATGTGTATATTTCTAAAAGGCTATGATATGAGCACCATTTCAATGATTGTCACCCCACTAATTCCCCTATGTGTGAGAAACTGTTTTATTCCTTTTTTACATCCTGCCGTATCTTATGCCTCTTTTGTCTAAGTGAAGGTACACTTGTAGAGGAGAAAAGTAAACCTCCGTGCAGCACTTTTATATAAAATTGTTTGTGCTTGTGTTTGTGCCTTTGTTTGTGTGAAGAGGTGAGAATCTTGAATTTTGTCTTTTTTACTCCATCTTAGATCAAGGATTTCATCCCTTCCGAATTGAGGAAAGGGAAAATCTTGGAAGTTCGGCAGCTTGCTTTTTATTTTTCATATTTGAACAGAAATGATACAGGGGGTGGGGTGTGGGGGAATACATGCAAAAATATCCTTTTTCTTAAAAATGGATATGTACAAATATACACATATATATAATTGCTCTTACTGATCCGTTTTGTGAAACGGAAGGTGTGGAATTCACCATTTTTTTTAATCAACTGTTATTCCCTCAGAGGAGACGATCATAGGGGAGGGAAGACATGTAAACAGAAAAAGATGTTTGTATGTATATATACATATATGTGTGTGTAAGCACCAAACGTAGTTTTAAATGTTCCTACGAAGTTGTAGAAAATACTGAAATGAGGAACTTTATTCTGTTGTAATCTTTTTTTTTTTTTTTTTTTTTTACGATAAATTCGGGATTAAGCGTAGCTTTTTGTGTGCTTGAACGGTTGTAACTTTGTTACAAAATTTTTGATTCCTTTTTCTGATTTTTATATATTTGCAATATTGCGCGTTTATATCTTTTTTGTTTATTCATTTATTTTTTATTATTTTATTTTATTATTTTATATTATTATTTTATTTTATATTATTATTTTATTTTATATTATTATTTTATTTTATTATTTTATTTTATTATTTTATTTTATTATTTTATTTTATTATTTTATTTTATTATTTTATTTTATTTTTTTTAAGATTTACTCTTCACATGAATTTCCAACAAAGAAATTTTTCAATCAGGTGGAGAAGAGACTTTTTCACAAATCAATAATTTCTTCACATGTATTTTATTTCTCATTTTGAGGAAAAATATGAACTCTGGAATTTTTTTTTTTTTTTTTTTTGCCATCTTTATATATAACTTCACTCTTGGCAATTACACACACATGCATACACTTGCAAGAGAAAGAAATTGACGAGCGCATAATTTTTGTTATGAAACCACTTCACTATAATAGGACCGGCACAATATTTATAAGTTAAGAAGATTGTTATTGCCTTTTCTTTAAAAAGTTTCGAATTGCCACATGTGTATTTATGATCCAAAGCGCAATGTGTGGAGAAAAGGCCGTGTCAATTGAAGCACTCATGGAAAAGAGGCTGTGAAAAAAAAAATAAAATAAAAATAAAATAACAATAAGACTAGCAGTAATAGCAGTAATAGCAGTAATAGCAGCAGTAGCAGCAGTAGCAGCAGTAGCAGCAGTAGCAGTAACAGTAGAAGTAATAACGTTAATGTTGACAATAATGATGACAAAATAAATGAAATGGAAAATGAAAGAATAAAACAAAGATAACGATAAGCCACAAGGGTCTCTCAAAAGTGTTCACTTAAGTGCAAGTCGCAAGTCAAATGAATAATTTTCACATGTTCGATAGACACGCGTGAGGGATTACCTCATTTCGATGCTCAGCATACCTGTAACTGTCGTTGTAAATATCAAGCTGGATTCTGCAACGCAAGCATTTGTCAGAAGAGGAAGAAGAAATTGAAGAAATTGAAGAAGAAAAAAAAAAAAAAAAACTACTGAGTAATTTTCCTTGGGTGGTGTTGGTTTTTATTTGTTAATCTTTTATTTGCTAATCTTTTATTTGTTAATCTTTTACTTGCTAATTTTTTATTTGTTAATCTTTTACTTGCTAATCTTTTATTTGTTAATCTTTTACTTGCTAATCTTTTATTTGTTAATCTTTTATTTGTTAATCTTTTACTTCTTATCCCTTTTACTTCTTATCCCTTTTACTTCTTATCCCTTTTACTTCTTATCCTTTTATTCGTTTCTTTTTCCCCACCCTTTTTTTTTTCTTGTTCCTTGAAGAAATCACATGAATATTCGTCATAAAAACACCGTATGAATTGGAAAATTTGCTCACTTTGTTTCCATCTACACATGCATATACAGACACCATTAGACTATACACGCTTGCCATCACAAAGGATATTATGAATGGAAAATTTCATAGATCAAGAATTAAATAGCTGCGATGAAAATGAGGCAATTTTGTTAGACATTGATGATTTGATGGATTTTAAAAAGTCGCATCCCAAAAGAAAAGGAAGAAAACATAACAAAAACGGTGGACAGAACCGAATCAAGGAAAAGGAAAAAAGCACTGAAATTTACAACTACCCTAATTTTCCAATTAGGAACGACAAAAGTTTACAAAGTGATACACAAAACCTCAGCGATGATGCGAATGAATTGTTAATAAAAAGAGGAGAAAGAAAGAAAAGCCATGGGCAATATTGGGATGAGCAAGAGGAGGAAGAAGGAGAAGGTGGAAAAGATGGAGAAGAAGAACAGGAAGAAAGACCAATTGATGGTTTAAAAAGATGGAGAAACAAGTGCGAACCTGACCAAAGTTACTATCGATTCTTCCCACATATATATGGACGATTGAAAAGTTATTACAACAACGATATTATTAATTCGTTTAGAAATAAGTTTAATAGAAAAACACGAAGAGATGATGATTTCTTCTCCCATGAGAACTATTTGTCGTTTGATTTTCTGCACATTTTAGCTAGCCGTTTATACTACTCCAGAGGAACTATGCGCATGTATTTTTTTGTTACCGTGCTTAATCTTTTTACTCTTATATATTCCCTAAGCATAAAAATAGTAAACATTTTTGTTGTCACTTCTGAGATATTCATAATTTTGATGCTCTTCATGGAGATTTTCCTACGTTTGGTAACACAGGTAAATTATGCTTTTGCATTTGTCGTTGCTTTTGCATGTATGAGAAGTGTATCTTCTCAAAACATATAAGAGAAAGTGCCCACGTATAAATAGTGTATGAAAAAAGAAAAAAAAAAAAAAAAAAAGTTAACCATCACACATATTTCCGTGTATTTGTTGCATTTTGCCTAATCCACTTCATTCTCATTTTTGCATGACTTAGGGAAGAAGATACTTTTACAATTTTGAAGGTCTGTTCGACGTGATTGTTACAATAATGTGCTTCTTGCTTCTGTTAAGTAGTGGAGATTTAAAGGTGTTTTTTAAAAGTGATATGGCAAAAATGAAGAATACTGAAATGGAAGAAATCGTCTCGCAAAGTCTAACTGTTTTTCGATTCTCTTTTCACTTGTTTAGAACCATAACTCTTTTCATGCACTATGAAAGGGTGAAGGTATGGCATGCTTTGGGACTAACCTGTGCATGAACAGTGCAGAGAAATTGTTTGGCCTTGCACTTGTATGTCGTGTCCCATGTGCATGCATCACACGTGAGTGCTTGCATCTGTGCTTGTATCTGTGCTTGTATCTGTGCTTGCATCTGTGCTTGTATCTGTGCTTGCATCTGTGCTTGCATCTGTGCTTGTATCTGTGCTTGCATCTGTGCTTGCATCTGTATTTGCATCTGTGCTTGTATCTGTGCTTGTATCTGTGCTTGCATCTGTGCTTGCATCTGTATTTGCATCTGTGCTTGCATCTGTGCTTGCATCTGTGCTTGCATCTGTGCTTGCATCTGTGCTTGTATCTGTGCTTGCATCTGTGCTTGCATCTGTATTTGCATCTGTGCTTGCATCTGTGCTTGCATCTGTGCTTGTATCTGTGCTTGCATCTGTGCTTGCATCTGTGCTTGTATCTGTGCTTGCATCTGTGCTTGCATCTGTGCTTGCATCTGTGCTTGCATCTGTGCTTGCATCTGTGCTTGTATCTGTGCTTGTATCTGTGCTTGCATCTGTGCTTGTATCTGTGCTTGTATCTGTGCTTGCATCTGTATTTGCATCTACGTTGCATCTACGTTTGTGCGACACAAAGCAACTTTTCACCCCTGGTTCCCCCGCAACCGTAGGCACCAACAGACAAAATCGACTTTTCGGTGCTAAATTTATCGCACGATGAGGAGGTAAAGGAAGATGAAGAAGAAGATTACATTGTGTAAACAAGTAGTTCCACCTACCTAGTGGGAAAGAAAAATGAAACAAAAAAAAAAAAAAAACATGAAACATAAAACATAAACCATAAAACGTAAAACATAAAACATAAAACATAAAACATAAAACGTAAAACATAAAAAGGATGTCTACTAAACAAATAGGAGCATGTAAAACAATTCTCCACAAATAATCACCATGTTAAAAAAATAATCAATCAGGGAGACGAGGGGAGAACTAAACAAATTGGCAAGAAATTTGAGAAAAAAAAAAAAAAAATTAGACAAAACAAAATTTCTTTTCCCCCTCGAAACAAACACTACAAATATGACAGATCTCCCTTTTTTTTTGTTTTTTTTTTTTCTCACACTAATAAGAAAATGTGCAAAAATAATTACATGTGTATATGCACGTGTGTGTTACCGTATGCGCACGCCTTGATTGTGCGTAGGAACTTTCCTTTTTTTTTTTTTATTGAATTTTCTTTTTTTTTTTTTAAATTTTCCTTTTATTTTTTAAAATTTTCTTCGTTTTAAATCCTGAAAGGGTAAAGGGACAGCATGCCCGTTTGGGAAGAGAGAAAAGTTGTTTTCATCCTGATTTTTTTTATAATTATACGAAAAAGAATCAATTAAATCCAATTTCTTTTTTTTCTCCTTTAAAATGTTAACTTGATTCTCTACGTCTGCCATAGTCCTATTTGCATCTACATTATTTATAAAAGCATCGTTTGGGACATTCATCCTAATCGTGGTAGATGTGTCGACATGTTCATTTGTATATGTATGCATATAGTTATCATTCCAATTAATAACAAGGTTATTGTTCATATTATGATTTTCGCTTGTGGGTATTTTAGCATCTACATATGAATTATCATTTTTTGGAGTTTTCAAGTGAGTAATACTGTTGGTTCTAATTTGCTCAGTTGTTTTGTTTTCATTTCGTCTGAACAAGTGTTCTTGCTCACGTCCATGCGCAGGTGGTAGAACATTATCTTTTCCACACTTTCCATCCTTATACGTAAAATCTGACAAGTCGATGGAAAAATCCCTTGATTTTTTATGTTCTACCAGTAAACTATTTTGATTAGCTTCTAAATTATGAACTTCATTTATAAATTTAAAGTCATCATCTATAAATTTCATCAACCTAGTTCTATCCTTACCGCTAAAATTCTCAAGTTGGTTATTATCACTGTTTGTTATGTTGCACAATGGGTTCTTCTTCATTATGATTACTTGATTCGTGCCTTGTTCCATCAGATTCTTGTGTATATAATTTGCTTTCTCCTTATCAATAGGATCTGCTATACGTTCGGTCCCTCCTTTAGATTCCCCTGTTTGGTTACATCCATTTTGGTTATCTCCATGGAAGTGGTTCCATGGTCCATTTCCACTTTCATCCTTATGACACATTGTGGGTTCCTCCCGCCTTTGGTAATTCCCCTGAGTCTTACCAACACGCTCGTCATTCTCAGCATCTCTTCCGTAGCTACCTCTGCTGCCACCTCTGTTCCAATTGCTGTTGTTGAAGAGTCTACTTCTAACAAGGGAGGCACTTCCAGTGTGTGAAGTTCCCGTGTGTGAAGTGCCAATTACATTGTGATGGTGTGTGCTGCCCCGGTCACCTCCGGCATGGGGATAAGGGGTGGCTCCGTTAAGGGGTGCACTATATTCACGCCCCACGGCCCAATCATGGGACTGAGGATTGGTGTGGTCTTCACATCTGACAATGTCACTGTTGTTATAGCTTAAGGAGGAAATTAAATTGGTGAACCTGTTCAGGCTAGAGGGTTCCTGTTTTTCATTTTTTTTTGGTGGTATCATATGTTGGCTATCTGTGTTGTTAATATTTATGTTTGTATCTAAATCGTGCAGGAGACAAAAACCTCGAACACCTGAAATGAGTTTTTCTAGAAAAGCATTTGGACATATAGGAGAGATATTATCAACATGTTTTCTAATTAGATGTACAGAAGTAAGTCTTTTATGACATATATCCTTTAATGGTTTGTCAGAAATTAATTGAAAAGGTGGAATGTTTTGTTTCCTTGCTTCTAAAATTCTTGTTCTAAGTAATATTTTCATAATAGAATCATTTATTTTTTCATCTGTCAATTTTTCTTCTTTATATTCATATTCCCTAATGCATTTCCTTTTATCCATATTGAAATATTCGTACTTGTTTTTTGGAACTCCATTTATTCTTTCAGTATTTCCTTCTCTTATTTTGTATTTTCCTTCACTAATAAGATTGTTATCTTTCATACCATGATGGGACGTGACAGTACTTTGATTTGTATCATTCATGGTGGACACTCCTTCTCTTAATTTATATTCTACACCATGTTCATTATTACCAGAGTCATATACAGACCTATTCTGATGGAAATCCTCACGGAAAGAATCCATTTCTTCTCCCATTCTGCTGCTCCATCCCATTCGGCTGACCTCGCTTGAGATTTCTCCATATTTAGAATTTTCCCCGTAGGAATTTCCAATGTGTTCCTTTTTATTTCTCCTTCCTTTGGTCTTCTTGTCACCTTTATTACTACCACTGCTTAGCCCTTTTTTTGGTTTGTCTATCAAAAAGAATGGAAGTCTAACTGCGTATTTTTGATCCACACTTTTTATGAATTCCTCCCCTTTGGATGTTATACCGACACTTATGTAACTGACATCTTTGCTATAATTAAGAGTTTCTTTAATAAATTTATCATTTCTAGCAATTTTCATAAGAGCTGACCACCAATTTGTTGGTTTATGCATTCCTTCCCCATACTCCTTAATGTTATGATATCCCTTTTTTATTATACTTGCTTCTTTACTTTTCACTAATATTTTACAGATAACTGAAATTCCTGTTCTTCCTTTCAATGATACTA